TCAGTCTCCCGAGTGAAGATACACTTTTTTACTAGGTGTGGTAGTATACACACCTGTAATTCCAGGATTCAGGAGGCTGAGGCAGAAGGATTGCCACAAGTTTGATTGCAGCGTGGGCGGCATAGTGAGTTCAGTCAAGGTCAGCTTGCACTGCATAGGGAGACCAGAGTTATTGAGACAGTCTCCCTGTGCAGTGCAGGCCAGACCTGAAGTGTGTTTTTGTTAGGAGTCTCTTCCGGTGCTCTGCAGCTGGTTGCAGAGGTAGTTGGTGTGGTGAGGGGGCTTTTGCCATGGTAAGTATAGTGCAGAGGGGCTTGATGGCTGCTTTTAAAGCTGGGAGCTGAGTGCTCAGTCAGTCTTCCGGTAACTGTCAATTTCATAAGATCTTAGGGTTCCCCCTTTACGGAGTAAAAGCCCTGAAGATCATTGCTAAAAAGAATAAAGGGAAGAAGAAAATCATTACTGTTCTGAGGCCAGGCTCTTGCCTAGGTGTCTAGAGCAGTGTTCTCTCCACCTTTCAGCTCTCCCTATTCTACTTCCAGGGAGGTCTCCATTCCAGAAACCCCGGGATCGCACTCCAGCGTGGGGTCAGGCGGGCCGTGGCTGGCAGGGTTGTCTTGTGGTTATCCGAGAGCTGAGTCAGCTCCCCCTGACGTGCACCCAGCCTTAGAAGCAAGCCTCTAGCAGGTGTGTAGCTGGCAGTGCTCCTGCCCAGCCCTGCTCTTGGGACGGCTGCCCCTGCACAGCTCCCCGGGAGGCTCCAGGAGTGCTGTTCAGCAGCTCTTGTGGGGGATCTGCTACCAGAGCTCCAGTGCAAAAGAGTGTTGGACACTGACAGATCCTGTCTCCAAATAAGTAAATGAGTGAATAAATAAATTTGCTCTAAAGCATTAGAGAATCTAAGGTCTGCATAAAGTTAACTCATTCACAGTCCAGTAGCACCAGACGATTGCATAGTCGTCCATATCCCTAATGTGTTAAATCAGTAAGTCCTGTCCCATTTCTGAATTATAAACCAAGAAAAGTGATGGTGTCTTTTAGAAATTATTGCCATTCAAGCCGGGCATGGTGGTGCTCACCTGTGATCCCAGCACTGGGCAGGCTGAGGCAGGATTGCCCTGAGATCAAGTCCAGCCTGGACTACATAGTGAGACACCCCCTCTCAAAAAAGGAATGAAGCATGGACCTTCTTTTCCAGCACACAGGATTTCATTGTCACCTCCTCAGCTCCTCTCACGGTTAAGATCACCTGGGTCTGGCTAGGCTGGTGCTCAGTGGTAGATTGCATGATCCAGCACAAGGCCCTGGCTTGATCTCCATTGCTAGAGTTGGGTTTGTCCATTGATGGGACTCCGCCAGGCGAAAGTAAACCCCATCAAATTGGTGCTTTACCAGTACGGCCTTTTTTTTTTTTTTTTTTTTTTTTTAAGTACTGCCTTCTGTGATTTTTTTGAGACAGGGTCTCACTAGGTCATTCAGGCTGGCTTTGAACTCACTGTGTAGCCCAGACTCTTCTGGAACATCCTACCTCAGCCTTCTGAATACTGGGACTGCAGGCCCGCGCCATCACACTCAGCTAATAGTGACCTTAGTCAAGTATTTTATTGTAGTCCTCAGTATAACTAAGGAAATACAGTATTACGTGTATTACATCTGTTCCAGTGGCTTCAGATGTGCCTTCCTCCTGTGTCGGGTACTGCCAGTATGGCAAATAAGTTTATTTCCTTTTTCCCACAGTTCTTGTCAGCCAGCCAGGCCTTGGTAAACAAGCTGTGCTTACTTGTGCAATGACAGTTGGTTCTCAGAGATGAATAGCTGCTCCACAGACACAGGGCATGCTTCCCAATACTTTCTTCTTTTTGGTAATACACTTTCGTTAATATTGGTAGTAGCATTGTTTGTTGACTCCTTTGGTTTGGCCTCCTATTAATGTTTAAGATTATTTCACCCCTACAGAAATGTATAGTCACAGAAAGTCAATCTCTGGTTGCCTGGGATTTTAGAAATGTATTGTGAAAGGGAATGGGAGCTTACTTTTCGGGTAGTACCTGTAACAGTTTCAGATATTTGTTAAAGTGAGTGAATGTTATTGCATGTCGTCTATTAAGAGGGATGCAGAAACAGAAAACTTGAAGATTTTACCTGAGGATCAGACTGACGTTTAAGGAAGCGGTTAGATACGGTGGCACAGGCCCGTCGTCCCAGCGTGGGGAATCTGAGGCAGGAGGATCGAGAGTTCAAGCCCAGCCAACATACTGAGTCCTTGTCTAAAAGTAAAAAGGGATGGGAATGCAGGTCAGCCCCCAGTGCTACTCCCATCTCCCCCAGAAAGTTTGAAAAAGAGAACAAGATTAAAATATTGAAGGGGAGAGTCTAGGGGTGTCACTCAACACTCAGCATGCATGAACCTCTGGGACGAGTGCCCAGCACCAAAGAGAGGAAGGAGAAAGTGGAGTCTGATGAAGAAAAGTGGAAAGGTAAAGGCTGTGAAGTATCCGTGACAGGATGTTCTTATCAGCAGTCACGGGAGTCTGAAAATGCTTAGCTAGTGGCAGTGTTGAATTCTGTAATGCGTAGGGATGAGGTACTGGGGAAGCGAGTTTTATCTTTCATTTCATAGTTTGATCACCAGCATGCAGCTTGAAAATACTTGGAAAAAACATTCCTATGGTACTTGGAAAAAACACCGCCATAAAAAAGCCCCACAGAATGTGGACAACGGAGCACATAGCAATGGGACCAGTGGGCCTGGAGCTTCCTAAGTACAGGGCTTCTGAGTATTACAGGAAAACTCACCTTCCTGAGCTAAAGGAGACCGAGCTTGAGGGTAACTTGTCCCGACTTGAGAGGCTAGACTTCCTGTGTGTGGCTGCAGTTGCTGTGGCGGTCCACAGTATCCCACCAAGCGGAGCATTGACGTAGAGTGCATTGTTGGATGCATTTGTTTTTGTATTTCTAAGTGGATTTTATTTAGGTTAAAGATACTGATAATTTTTTTTTCTTCCAGTGAATGGAATAAATGAAAGCTGGCTTTTTAAATTCAATAGGAGCTGGGCGTGGAGGCGCAGGGCTCTAATGCCACCACTTGGGAGGCTGAGGGAGGAGGGTTGCCATGAGTTGGAGGCCAGCCTGAGCTACATAGTGAGTTCACACCCAGCCTGAACTGCATAACTAGAGCCTGTCTCATATAGGCTTAATAGGAAGGTCTTGCCTTACTCTTTAGTTTCATTTTGTTTTTTTGTTTTTCTTCCAGTACCAGGAATCGAACTCACGACCTTGTGCTTGCCAGGCAGGCGCTGTGTCACTGAGATAAATCCCCAGCCCCATTGCCTTATTCTTATATTTATCTTTTTGTATGGCATTTGTCTTTTTTTGTATAAGTGGCTTTTTTTCCCTAGTCTTCTGTGCCTAGTTGAATACAGTAACTCCCTAAAATTGATATTCTAGCTGCAGTTACATGCTTAAAATAATTATGCATCTTTAGCCTAAAATGTCTACTTTATAGACACAAATTTACATCAGTCCTGGTATAACAGCCTTTAGATTATGTCTAGGCTATGATTTGACTTACTGTGTAAGTATAAGGTCTCATGTAGATAAACCAAAATTAAGATCTCTGGTAAAATAAAAGTAACCTCAGCCTTATTTAGTTTCCACCATAGGATGAAAGAAATTTGATGAATTGAACCAAGTATAGTTAGCTTCTTGGAAGTAAAGCTGTTAGTATTTTAAAAATTAAGAACTATTTGGAAGTCAGAAAGTTGAAGTTTGGTTTGGGGACCCCTGAAAAAGGGAATGTGCCTCCCAGGAGGGACATTGCTGGGGTTGCACTCCTGCAGAGGGCTGAGGGGAGGGGAGGAGGGGCCACAGCAGAAACGAAGGGCCCTGCAAAGACATGCAGGGTCAGAGCGGTTGCCAGCCAGTGTTAACATCCAACCAGAGCTCGGCTCTAGACAGTGCGTGGTGTACTGTCTTGAGGACTTGCTGTATTTTGTGTACACTCCAAGAAATCATTTCCTAGGTAACCTAAGGGGCCAGTAAAGGTCAGCGAAGATCAGCTGTTATTTCAGGATGGGAGTCTCAGAGGAGAACGGGTAACCTGGGGGACGGGGAGGTATGATGGGGGGATTGAGCAGAAGGAGGATTTAGCCTGAAGCCCCCCTAAAGACTAGAGATCTTAGGAACTGGTTCAGAGTATGCAGTCCCCTAGCTTACTTTTGGTTTCCCATTATGATGGCATTTTCTTGCACTTCTCACAGTTGGCAACTCAGTTTTGACTGTTTGAGCCAAGATTTATTTAAACACGTTTTTACAGAAACCTTTGAGGAAGTAATTAAGCTCGTTAAGAGGACTAGGGAAGTCAGTGGGAGATTTGTACACAGAACCCCATTTTCAGACTCCCTTTCAGTAATTTCGCCAAATCAGATCACCCAAGAGACCTGTGTTGGCTCTGTTGATGTAGTGAGCATCATTTTTAGCTTAAGTCAGGACCAAGGCAGTCAGTCACAGCTACAGATTGTCCCCAAAGCTACCTTCTGCCCCAGTCCTGGGTCTGTTTCTTTCACCTGCTCTAGAATTGTATTTACAAGACTGGGTCTGCAGCTCCCTGGTGCTGCTGTGTCTCGTGGCACACATGTGGTTGCATTTCAGTAAGCTGCACTGAGCTGGTTTTTGTTTTGTTTTGTTTTTTCCCAGGTCTTTTTGAGACAGGGTCTCGCTATGCAGTTCAGGCTGACCTTGAGCTCACTTTGTAGCCCAGGCTGGCCTCGAACTTGCAAGGATCCTCCTGCCTCAGCCTCCCAAGTGCCGGGATTACAGGCGTGCGCCACTATGCCCAGCTGAGCTGGTTTTTAAATGGGTAGCAAAGGTTCTTAGTACTAACCTAAGGTTTCTCAGGTGTTAAGCGATGGCACATTCCTGACTGAGCATTTTCACTGACAGCTGCCAGCATGCAGAACTGTTGAGTAACGCGGATTGTGATGTGACTTCTGTTTTGGCAGTTTGTTGCATATTCTAAGGACCCAGACAGACATAGGCTTGGTGGCCCATCACTTGTTTTTCCTGGTTTATGACTTTCGGCTTTGTGGAATACGGCTGAGATGAAAGGATTCATTGACGATGCAAACTACTCCGTTGGCCTGTTGGATGAAGGAACAAACCTTGGAAATGTTATTGATAACTATGTTAATGAACATACCCTGGTAAGTGCCGGAATGCCAGCGCTTGTTAATTTCTGAGGTGTTAATCCGATAGAAGTGCCTGGTTTAGTTGACTTTTCCAGATTGATTGAACAGGAGACTGCCCTTACCTCCTACCCCCTTTCCTTTGAATAGTGCGGGAGTTTATTTTTAGCCCATGCTAGAAAAGAGTGCTTTATATATAAAATCGCATTTCTCGGCCGGGCCCCTGAGCACCTGGCTCGCTTGTGTTTGTAGACGGGAATGTGAGGAGCCTGCTGGGTGCTCCCTGCGCCCGCGGTCCGGTGTGCACAGTTCCCTCACCGTTCCTTGAGGTCACCTGCATTGTAGATGATAGTCATTTTCACTTACGGACTTCATGTTGGATCTCTCTTTATGGGAGGGACCTAATTTTCTGTGTTCCCCAAATGTGTTGAATTATTCTCAGTACTTTCGTGTGAGCACATCCAACAGCAGTTCTGTCCTCCACCAGTCCACAGGCACGCCCGTCTCCCCGACCCCACAGAGCCCCTGGACTGCTCCCATCCTCTGCCAGCAGGCTTCCTGGAGCAGTGGGTGGCGAGCGTGACACCGCGTGCAGCCTCTCTGCAGTGAGCTCTGCATAGCAGAGGGCTTCTGGTCACATTTTGGTGCCCTTTCTCACAGCCACTTAACCGTACCCCCCTGACTTCTGTGGCACTCGCTTCCTAGAAACACCCCACTGTCCATGCCCCTCACTCTGAGTCCACCCACGCAGCGATGCTGAGGACTCTGAGGCCCCGCTGCCCTCCTGCGGGCCTCTGACCGAATGTGGCTCCAGTCTGTCTCTGGTCTCCCTGACAGCCGCGCCCTGTTCCCTGGTCTTACCTTTACGCGGACGTGGTGGCCTCCTCACCATCTGCCTTTTCCATTTTCTGTTAATTTTGTTGCATATTCATTACATCAAAGCTTCCCATTCGTCAAATTAATTAGTTTTCCGTTGCTCACTAAGACTTGGTTTCACGTTTTCCCCAAGAAGGGAAAGTGAAGGTGGGTATGGTGGTGCAAGCCTGTAACCCCAGCACTCTGGGAGGCTGAGGCAGGAGGACTGGAAGTTTAGGCTCAGCCTGGGCAACTTAGTGACTCAGTTGAGATCTTGTTTCAGAGTAAAAACGTATAAAAAGAATTAGAAAGGGGCTGGAGATACAGCTCAGTGCAAAAGCCCCAGGTTCATTTGTCAAGAATTTGGGAGGTTTCGTTTTTTGAGGCAAGATCATGCTTCACAGTCCAGGCTGGCCTTGAACTCATGATTTCCTCTGCCTCCATCTCCTGAGTGCTAAGATTATAGGTGTGTGCCACCATACCCAGTTTAAAAGTCAGTTTGTTGTCTTTGGAGGGAAAAGTTTCTTGGATGGGGCTTATGGGACATTGGGTTTTCTTTTTTGAAACAGGGTCTCACTGTATCACCCAGTCCAAGATCAAGTGATCCTCCTGCCTTATCCTCCCGAGTAGCTGGGAATAGAGCCATGCTCTTTAAGTATTTTTAAAAATCTAAGTCTTTCTTAGCTCTTCGTACTGTATTACTAAATTCTACCCAGAGCTGCCAAAGTAGGTCTGTTGTGCGTGGTGAGAGAAAACAGCCCCTGCCCGTCAGTTACATCACACTTCTGGGCTCAGACAGGACTCTCCCAGGCAGCTGTCTCAAACAGCACCCCTGGGTTCAATAAAATAAAACGGAGACAACTGGTTAAAAATAGAAAAGTCAGTGTAATTGATACGTTTTTAAAACCTCAGAATATTTTATATGCCAGTATAGCACAGCAAAATACCAAATTTGTAAAGAAAGATGAAAAGCATACCGACCGCTTCCGTGTTTGCTAGATAAAGCGTGATTACTCTTAAGCTTTTAAAGTCCTCTTTTTTAGGGGGTTTCTTTTTGAGACAGGGTGTCACTATGCAGTTCAGGCTGACCTCACTCAGGACCCTCCTGCCTCAGCCCCCCAAGTGAAGTCCTCTTGTATGAAAGGAAGGGGGAATTCCTTCCTTCCTGGAGTATTTCCACTCATTCTGTGCTCTCTTTCATGACGATACAGACAGGAAAGAGTGCGTTTTTTGTGGGGGATCTCGGGAAGATTGTGAAGAAACACAGCCAGTGGCAGAATGTGGTGGCTCAGATCCGGCCGTTCTACGCGGTGAGGTGCAACTCCGCCCCGGCTGTGCTGGAGATCCTGGCAGCTCTGGGGACAGGCTTCGCCTGCTCCAGCAAGGTGAGTCCCTTCTGGTCCCACGTTCACCCTGGCTGACAGCCACATGCTCCAGCGTGCAGGGAAGCTGGGCACTCAGACGGAGTGACGTAAACGCAGGCCACTGCAGGACTTAACTTTTCAGGTACATTAATAAAAGGGCAGTTTCAATGTGGTGACCCTTGGAAAGCTCTCTTTATTAGACAAAAACATATTTATTCTTCATCCTTAGGCTAGAACTAGCTCTACTTCTGGCCGTAGTATATGTTTAAACAGAGTTGGGTAGGACAGCATCATGAACTGTGAGCTGATAGTATGTAATACAACCTTCGTCCGAGCAGAAAATAACTTGAGAGGCTAAGGAGTGGGTAGTCTGTGGTAGAGCACCTACCTAGCACACAGAAGGCCTTGGCTTCAGTCTCCAGCGCTTCAGAAAGGACGTGCTCGTGTGTGTGCCTGTATGCATGCATGTGCGTGTGTGTGTATGGTCAGCTGAAAAGCAGTTGAAAGTTTTGCCAGTTAAGTGACTGTGTTCAAAATGTCTTTACAGAATGAAATGGCTTTAGTGCAAGAATTGGGTGTATCTCCAGAAAATATTATTTACATAAGTCCTTGCAAGCAAGTTTCCCAGATAAAATATGCAGCAAAAATTGGAGTGAATATCATGACATGTGACAATGAAATTGAATTGAAGAAAATTGCTCGTAATCACTCAAATGCCAAGTAAGTATAAAATTGAAGCAGTTGAGCATCGCCTTAATACTGAGGGGATGTGGCTTGTCTTTAGCCTGGGAAGAAGGGCTTTTTGTAGGAGGGCAGTGTTGTAGTAATTATACCTTGACTTGTTGAGAGTTTCTGCTTTAAAAATGCTAACGGCATATTACTGACGCCTGCTTCTGCGCCCCTTGGTGTGGAATTGGGATGATCGGCCTGGTCTGGGAAATGATCTTACGATCTGTAGCTCGGGGAGAAAATGGGGCACAATGACCAGGTTAGTGCCCCAGCTGTGTTCTGAGTTACAGTCTCAGAATACAGATCTTGTACATCTGTAATTTTTTTTTAACTGACTTTAATGTTAAGGTATCATGACAACATTAATTACCCTGAAAAACTTTCGAACAAATGGTGAAATTTTAGGGAATGACTGTCTTTTTAAAAAAAAAAAATTGGGCCTGCTTAACAGTGTGCAGAAGACGCGCGCTGCGCCATGAGGCGTGGGGTGTTTCCTAGCAAGGCTGTGAGCTCACTGATGGCTTCCCCAGAGAGCCTATTCACCCTAAGCTTCCATTTCTTTCTCTCAGCTTTGCCTCTGAGTACTAGTTGTTCATCAGGACTCCCTCAGGAAATGCACTGGCAAGCATTAGTTAGGGTTTTGTAGATCAGCCTTGATCACTTTGTCTTGGCTGTCGTGGTTTGGAGGAAATAAAAAAGATTTGAGACACATATAACTAAAACATCTCAGTTCTTTTCCAGTTAGAAATCTCCTAGGATGTGAGAGGTTATATAGCAGAAGTTCCCAGTATGTGACTAAGGGTTAGCTAGCTACTATTAAGATATTTACAGCCCTCGTATTTTATTGAAAGACACTGATGACATTGCTATTGAATTTAGTCTTTCTAGGTGGATTTATGGACCAATGGACTTCATTTGAAAGTAATGTCGTCTTTCATTACAGAGCCCAACTTACTCTTGGTGCTACAGCAATCTTAACTTGCTGCATTTTCCAAAATCCCGTCCTTGTGAGCTTCTTGCCTTAGGCCCTAATTGCTAGTTTTTTCTCTATACAGGATTGTTTCTCTTTAGGTTCACTTGATTCATCCACCGCTGGATTTGGGAGCACTGGCAACATAATCAACACACTTCCTACAACCTTCAGGCTTCACATGTGCTGATGATGATGTAAACCAACTCTGCCCCAATCATCTTCCCCTTCTCTTAGGGTCTTACTACATCTTGCAACAGAAGATGATAGTGGAGGTGAGGAGGGTAGCATGAAGTTTGGCTCCACGCTGAAGAACTGTAGGCATCTCTTGGAGTGTGCTAAGGAATTTGATGTCCAAATAATTGGGGTTAAGTGAGTATTCCTTTTTACTCTCTTCATGGTGATACTCTCTGGTTATCGATTTAATAAAGGCTTCATTTGCATGAAATGTAAGGTTCAGTGTCTTTCAGTTATTAAGTGTAGGTTTTAACTTTAGAAGAAACAAATAACACTTTCTTCTTTATGCTGCTCCCAATAAACAGGCAAAGTAATCAGTACAGAGTAATTTAAATCCTAAGGCCAACCCCACCACCACCAGAATCTCCAGTGCCGAGTTCTGTACGTGCTAGAATTCAGATGAATTAAAGTGGCATTCAGCTTCTGGATTGTACATATCATTTTATTTCTGTTTCTCATCGATTTTTCCTTTTAATCTCTCAGGAGCATTTCAATTAATCTTACCTTTGCTAGTTTTTATTTGTGGAAAGTTGGTATTTTTTATGTGAGACCCAGAGAAGTTCATCAGTCCCATTGCCTTGACCACTGGTGGGATAAGCATGACTGTTCCAGGTGGCTGGCACAGCTGTTCCAGGTGGTACAAACAGCTCTAAGCACATTCATTGGTCTTTTTACTTACTAGTAGAATTACTCAAGAGTTTGTAAGTGGACCCAATCTAGTTAACTACTTAAATTTGAGCAATTACTGCCAAGATAGAAATACTATTCCTACCAGTTAAAATTATTATAATAACATATTTATCTGTTTCATTAATTTAAAATAAATTTATCTTCATGGATAGTTTTACCAGTAATTACATGATTTTTTTTTTTTTTTTTTGAGACAGGGTCTCACTGTGTAGCCAAGGCTGGCCTTGAGCTCACAGCAGTCTGCCTCAGCCTCCCAAATGCTGGAATTACAGGTGTGCCCTACCACACCCAGCTTTGAGTATCATTTTAGTGCTTTCCTGAAGAAACTAATAGGATGGCATCTGGCCTGCTAAATCAGCACTTTTCTTTGCATTGTCGTTAGCAAAGACGCCTGAGAATCGTACCAGCTGCCTGCTGGGACAGTCATGTAGACCATAAACTAATAAGTAGGGCCTGCCTGAGTGGTTTTATATTTATTTCACAGTGGACGCGTACATTTATTTGGTTGGCTGACGTTGAGTGTTGACGTGGAAGGTGGTGTGGTCCCATCAGTTGGTGCTTGCTCCTCACATACATACATGCAGATCTGCACATGCGAGTGCACCGTGTTACGACCTGCAGCATGACTGATGCCTGGCTCGTACAGGTTTTGTCTGTGGCATTACACTGTTTGAACATTACTGTGGCCAAAAAACTGGGATAGTAACTTGAGTGATTAGAAGCTACCCTACTAGCAAAATTAGGTGAAACTGCCATAATACTTCCGTATCAGAATGGTGAGTGATCGTGGAAAGGAAATGCAGGACGTGCCTTGAAAACTCACTACTGCTTTAAGTGGGTTACTCTTCCTTCTCTCAGATTCCACGTTTCCAGTGCTTGCAAAGAACCTCAAGTGTACGTACACGCTCTCTCCGATGCTCGGTGTGTGTTCGACATGGCTGTAAGTTCCTGAAGTTGTTTTGATACTGTAAGCCAGCAATATCCTCGAGATTTTTTTTTCCTGCCTGTAAATTAACTGTCATTACACCTAAGGACATCTGCCTTGCTTTTAATAATGTAAGGGTTCAGGATGCCATATAGTCATGCTTTGTAAGTAGGTAAAGGGATGAACTAGCAATTTATTTAGTACACAAGCACAGACAAGACTGAGGGGGCGTTGAAATAATGATTACATTTTGGAAAAGCGTTTCAAATCTTTTTTCATCTCTAGGGAGAATTTGGCTTTACAATGAGCATGTTAGACATTGGTGGAGGCTTCACGGGAACTGCCTTTCAACTGGAGGAAGTAAGTGTTTCCAGTGACCCGTCTGAGTAGTCTGCTTTCTCTGTACTTTTCTCCCTGGTAGAGATGATTGAGCCCGGGGCCCCCATGGTAAGTTACATCCCCATTCAGCCCATCTATAATTTTTTGAGACAGTCTCACTAAGTTGCCAAGGTGGGCTGAATCATAGGCAGTGAGGCGACCAAGCTAACCTTGAAAGGTTTAAATGCTTTGACCCCCGGTAACATCACAGATTGCTTTTTTCTTTGTTTTTGGGTTCTGAGCCCAGAGCCTTAGGAATGGTAGGCAAATGTTCTGCCCTGAGCCATACTCCACCCTACTGGAGGTGTTCAGGGACTCTGATGTCCTAGGTGGACTCCCGCATTGAAGCCAGAGCGGCTGGGTGTGTTTCGGCCCTCCCCACCCCCGCCCATCCTCGTCCTTGTTCTGTGGTTACTAGAAACTGCTGTGAGCCAAGTACCTTGGAGAGTTCCGCTTTTCTTTAAATAAGTGTCATGCTGGTGGTTATGAAGTAAACTTGAACTTGAAAGTCTGCCTAGTTTGAGGATCACCTGCTAAATGGCTACACTTCATGGTTTGTAACAGGAGCTGCCAGATTTCTTCAGGAACCATAGTAACGTTACTGTCAGTCTCTTTAATTGTGAGTTCTGTAGCTTAATGTTGAAGCCATAACCCGGAATTTGAACTCCACAGGTCAATCATGTTATCCGCCCTCTGTTGGATGTCTACTTCCCTGAAGGCTCTGGCATCAAAATCATTTCAGAGCCTGGAAGCTACTTTGTGTCTTCTGCGTTCACACTTGCAGTTAATATCATTGCAAAGAAAGTTGTTGAAAATGAGAAAATTCCCTCTGGAGGTAAGTTGCAAAGTTTATAGTTTGATTTTCTTAGCAGATGATTCAAGTTAGTCTGGAAATGAATAGGTGGTTATGGGGTTACAGGCAACTCCCAGCCTCCCACAGCTAGGGAACAACTCAAAAGGCCTCCCCTAGTCCTGTTCATGAGGCTGCACAAGTCCAGACACTCCTGGGTCCTGATACCTAGACGTGGGGTGGAGCTCATTCCCTTGTTAAAGCCGTTTGATTCCTCTTGCCTCGTGTGGGTGTGGGGGAGCACCTGCACGGTCCTCTCTCAACACGAGGGCCGCCAGAGAGCCCCTCCCATCCGTCTTCAGGTCAGGCCTAGTTGGCGTGAGATGATCTGCTTAACGCCCAGTACCACTGTCAGGGTTCTCCATGAGTGTGACTCGCTCTTCACACAGACAGGGCTCCCCAGTGCATAGGAAAGTGATGGTTTCCCCTCACCAGCACATCCTCCAGGACCCCATGCTGCAGTTGCCATTTCTCCTTTTGTGTTGCTTTCCTTCAACATTGCTGAAGAGGGGCGCAAGTTCACCAAGACCTTAGGAATACGAAGCATGTGACACTGGTCTGCCTCCCATAGGCGGGGCTGGCGTTTTGCTCTGCTCCCGTGGTTGAGATGGTCCAGCAGGGGCCTGCCTTGTGAAGTGGCAGGGGCTTGCAGGTGTGTCAGGTAATGCTGTCCCTCAGCCTTTCACCCCTGAGGGTCAGCTCTGACCAACGACTTCCTAATTCCATTGCTCAGACTGTGTTAGTGGCCTTTGTCTGAATAACTTTTCCTTTCTCGTATATATGTATATACGTTACTCGCTTGGATTAGTTGAGACCTGCAGATACTCAGTAGGTTATATAAATAACGTGCAGTGGTAACCAGAAGGGTACCTAGCACTGCATTTGTCTCACTGCCTCAGCGGTGGGTCCGTTCGATAGGCCCGCTGCAGCATTCTCTGGTGTGTCTCAGTCTCAGTCGCTGGTGCTCGAGACACTCCAGGCCCGCTCTCTTCTTTCCCTGCCTCTGCCCTGCTGTACTGGGCATTGCTGTTTTCGGGCAGCTCTCTGTGTGCAGTATGTGTCCAGTTTTCTAGGCCAAGTTTTGTTTTAAGGTATGTCGGTGTATAGCAGTTCTGTTAAAGTCGATTGAAAGGTTTTGAGAAATGAGAGTATTAGTTTTATAGATAGTAGCTTTGTTTGATAATGTAGCTATATATTATATATACAGTATGTTAGGCATTTTACTATAAACTTACCTTCCTCTTTCCTCTCTTATTTCAGTAGAAAAAAACAGGAGTGATGAACCAGCCTTCGTATATTATATGAATGATGGTGTTTATGGTTCTTTTGCAAGTAAACTGTCTGAGGACTTGAATGCCATCCCAGAGGTTCACAAGGCAAGTTTTACTACAAATAACAACAACGCTTGTTTCGTTGGTTTAGAAACCTAGTGTTGGGTAGGGTATAGCTCAGTTGTGGAGTCCATTTGTAAGGCTTTGGATTCAGCTCCTACCCCCGTCACCACCACTGCCACCAGACGGGGATGGGGATCTAGCTGTTACTTTTCTGCACAGCAGTGCTTGAGATTAAACCAGGGCCTTCATGTTCAGCTATATTCCCAGACCCCTCCTTAAATTTTACTTAATTTTACTTTTTCAACAAGATCTCACTAAATTGCATGTCCTAGCACTGAACTTCTGGTCCTCCTCCTGTCTCACCCTCCTGAGTGCTGGGATTACAGGCATGCTCCACCATGCCCAGCCCCTAGCAGTTACTTTAAAGAAGTACTCTGGTTCCTGAGATGTACTCTAGGATGGATATGGCCCTTTTTGAGGATTCTCATCTGTGGCTGCGCTCCAGTTTGCTGCCGTGGTTGTGGAGTGCCTGGTGCCACTGAGCTAAAATGGGGCTGCTTCCTGTGGGCTCCAGAGCAAGACTGCTCCTCAGGCAGCTGTAAGCTCTGCCTGCATGAGCGTGAGTAAAGGTTAATTTCTTGAAACCTTCCCTTTACCTTTCTTGTAAATCTAGAAATACAAGAAGGATGAGCCTCTGTTTCCAAGCAGCCTGTGGGGTCCATCCTGTGACGAGCTTGATCGGATTGTGGAGAACTGTCTTCTTCCAGAACTGAACGTGGGTGACTGGCTGATCTTCACTGACATGGGAGCAGACTCTTTCCAGGAGGCGTCCGTGTTCAAGGATGTGCCGAGGCCAGCTGTGTATTACATGATGTCATTCAGCGACTGGTAAGGAGGGTTTGTAGAGTAGGCGGGAAGGCTCGCAGTGTGATCACAGGTGGCCCTACACAGCTCACGCTCCTGACGCCCTGCTTTTCTGCCTGCAGGTGTGAGATGCAGGATTCGGGCATCACCTCGGACACCGTGATGAAGAACTTCTTCTTCGTGCCTTCTTGCCTTCAGCTGAGCCAGGAAGATGGCTTTCCCACCGAGGCTTAGGCAAGCTCCACGCCCTGCAGTCTGAGGTGCAGGACGCGCTTGTCTGGTCTACATTCCAGGGTGGAAAACAATCCGAATAGTCTCTGTTCATTCTCTCGGAGACAAAACTTAAGTTAATAGCTGTGTGGGACCAGATGAAGTCAACTTTCATCTAGAATTCATTGGGGTAACGGGAGATTTAGATAATGTGTCCAGATTAAACTAACAGTTTGTCCTACCCTTTAAGCTTTGAAAATAAAATATGCAACAAAATGGATGACTTAGTAGAGATGGAAGCCCATGACCTGGGTTCCCCATTCAACCGTTTACATACAAGTACACAGTTTTTATACTGAGGATTCGTGTCCAAAAGTCTTGTAAAATTAGGTCTTCCACCCAGGTAGAGCAGTTGTCGGTGGGAGACCGGTGTGGCTTCATTAGATACGTTTAGTGTATTTAGAGTGTGTAAATTTGTGCTTTGAACTGTAGTTTAATGTAAAATTGCATCATAGTATTTGTTGTATTTGACCTAATGTAACCCTTGTATGATTGCAATAAAATTTTGTGTAGATTTTACTGTTTTTTCAGGCTAAAACTTTGGGAAAGGGGCTAGCTAGCAAAGGTAGTTTTGAAATAGATGTGTATATGATCTGTTTTGAGGGTTATTTTTCTTTAGAGCTCATTTAAATTTAGTTCGGCTCAGTACGTTTTTCAGTTATTTAATAAGTAATTTAAAGTGTGTGGTAAATCATTGTGAAGTTCAGATTCATTATGGAGAGTTGATGTGCAGTAAGCATGATGTTTAACAACTTTAACACCAAAAATGTTACTCCTGCATAAACCAATTGTAATAATTAGTAGGTGTTTCTGTATAGGTAGAATGCATAGAGTACCTTAGTAAATCTTTGAATCACAAATCTTTTGGCTGACATGGAAGATTTCTATTGAATACTTTGAGTAAACTTGGTGGGGAAGGAAATAAAATTGCAGAGAACTGCAGAGCACTAAAACTCAAAGAAGGGCTACATCTGTATCCAGAAATCTGATTTTCCTTTTTGCATGGAATATTTAACGTTAGAGTGGGGAGGGGAGGATGGGGTGACGTACACTTCAGTTTTCTTAATTTCAGTGATTTCAAATTTAGGATTTTTTATTGTTAGTGATTTGAACTATTCCCTAAGTTTCTTGCTATTTCCCATTTGTTCAGCTGGATGATTTTAATTCTTTCATACATACTAAAATTTTCTGGTGGGTGGGGAAGGAGGTTGATGTCCCTAACCCAGCAGTTGTCACCAGGAATTTGCTTTGTTCACCCTAGTATATTAGTAATCCTGAGTCTCAGAATCATAATAGTAATAAACAACCGGGTCATTTTCTTCCCAACTTCCTCTATGTTCAGATGTGGAATTTCTGTCTCACAAGAGGAAATGTGACTTCACTTTGGTGCCAATGGACAGAACATTCTACCTGTGCTATGTAGAGGAGGTTTGGAATGCACTTCGGTAGCTGGTGTCCGCCTTGACCTCAAGGTAGAAGGAAATTGGTCACAAATCTCTGATTTCAGTCTCAAACCAGTAGGTGCTTAATATTCCTTCACTTGATTAATGCCCACTTGAACTGCATGGGTTCTGCTAAAAAAAAAATTAGGGCCCCAACCCATTGTCACCTAATCGCCTTGAACTTTCTCAAGGTACAATATTGGTTTTCTCCAAAATTCCAAACTACCATGCAACTTCTTTTTAGAACAGTAACAAGGAGGAACTGTTCTGCCTTGCTCGCCTGTCTTGGTCCGGAAATGCCAAAGCCTTTCCAGGAGGGCACAACCTCAAGGCCTGGGCTGAACCGAGCAGGCCAGGGCTCAGGCCTGGCGGTCGGGCTGCCTCTTTAGGAGAGCGGCCGCACGCGAACAGCTCTTGAGTTGCAGACGCCTCATGTGAATAAGGTAACTAAGAAATGTCTGTATTGTATTTGAAGACTGTATGCCATAAATCTCAAGTTTCAACCTTATGTATTCCAATTTGGTATGCTAACAAAGTAATGTAAAATCTTTTCTATATAATACTGTAATCTCAGTTCAAAATTTAACTGAAAATATAAAACCCAAATGATTTCTATATAGTAAATTGAACTGTAAAGGTAACTTGTGTGTGATTCTGAATACACAGATAAAATGTTTTTATTCCTCATGTTTTACTTTGATGGCTTCTCTCATGAAATAGAGCTGAGATTTTACAGCATCAGCTAAGCTTTCCTTCAGAATTGTGTTGTATTACAATTGTGTTTTATTGCGCTGAGTGGTAACATGGTGCCAGAGTTACATGGAGAACTGTGACACTTTGATGACGTCCTGAGCGTGAGCAGCAGTGGTTTTCTAGACACGGCAGTTTATCACCCTAAGCTCTGTAAGCTTGGACTCGATGCAGTAGCTGTGTAGAGATGGAGCTGGGTGTTGAGCCCTGATAGCCATGCAGCACAAACACGGGGTAGAAGAGGCAGGTTGCTGGCCTGCCTTGGCTTTCAGGAGTCCTCTGGTCCAGGGCTGGTGGCCTGCCCCTATAATCTCAGTTCTTTGGGAGGCTGAGGCAGGACGATCACAAGTTTAAGCCCAGCATGGGCACCTTAAGACCCTGTCTGAAAATTTCAAAAGTAAAAAAGGGCTGCCAGGCCAATGGCTCTGTGAAGGCCTTGTACTCTTGAAATGAAAGTGAACATTTCTGTTAAACTGGGTAATTTATGTGAAATTTACTTTCCTAGATGTTAAAGTTTTGCTACTGGGGCAATATGGTCAGGTAGGCTGTAAGTTAAAGGAGATTTCTGACCGCAGCCAGCCACGCTCCGGTCCTGCCTGCGCCCCTCCCTCCGTGTTACCACCACACAAGCTGTAAATAGGTCGACCGTGACCCAGTTGCTTCCTGAGGCCAGAGGACGGGGCACCTGTACGCGCTCTGAAAGGCTCTGCTCCCGAAACGTAGACCGGAGCCTTTGGTGTCCCTGTGTAGGACAGAGCACAGAGCCTCGCCCCTGACGCAACAGAAATGCCCAGCTAGTGACAGTGGCGTCTGGGCTGGTGCGTGGTCCTCGGGTGACTTTCCTGCCCTGCCGTGTTTTGGCCTTGTACCTGAGGCTTGGAGTGCGCGGGGCATGATGTGCTGCTGATGTGTGACTCAGAGGTGAGTGGGCGCGCTGTTACCTCCGCACCATCCCTACAACCGCGGTCTCGTGCCAGCCCGCCTGTCCGAAACCAGGTGAAACGTCTGCGCACACGTCTGCCCTGTCGGGAAGGCCGGGCAGGCCCAAGGGGTGTGCAAACGGGCAGAGCCCTGCTCTTCTGCCAGTTCTTCAAGGCTTGTGGCTTTGAGGGTAGCTGGTGTGGGGACTCCACTACACCAGTGTCCCTCGGAGAAATGAGTGGAAACACACTTTCAAAAGCAAGGCCAAAGCCAGCGTCCTTGCACGGTGTGCAGGAGCCAGCCCTGCAGGAGCAGAATCACTGAGGTGGCTGGCTGCGTGCTGCGTGTCCGGAGGAGGGCCAGGGCGCCCTGCAGACAAGTGCAGTCACTGGTCTCGCTAAGAGGGTGGATTTTTGACAACTAAGCCACAATCTGAGCTCTTTGCTGGGACTAGGGTCCAATTTGGATCAGATTGGGGTTTGGGGTTTTTTTGGTTGTTTTGTTTTTTGTCTTTTTGAGACAGGGTTTCACCATGTAATTCAGGCTGGCCTTGATGGCATGGCCATCCTCCTGCCTCAGCCTCCCCAGTGCTAGGATTATAGGTGTGCACTACACACCTGGCTGGATCAGAGTATTGGGTTTGGATTTCTTTTCCTAACCCATGGGTTGCTAACTTGGGAACAGGAGAAGAGCCTGAAACTTCAAGCAATTCTAGTAATGCACAATCTTAAGGTATGTGAAAGCAAACCTGAAAGGCATACCACAATCAGCAGCGCAAACCACCAGTGGCTCAGAGACATGAATTACAACTCCACTGTGAGCGTGTTAACCTAGGAGAAAGGGCACCTCCAGCACGTGCCATGCGAGTCTCAGGAGACAGTGCACGTTCTCACCAGGGAAAGAATTCAGTGTGGAACGCCACCACCACCCAGGTAAAGGGACTCTGCCTTTTAAAACTGAACACATCCTTCAGTTCATGAGCGTGATGACTGGGTGTTCATGCCGTCTGCATGAGATGTGCCTCCCTCAAACCTTGTTAGGGCGTCGGCACATGACCCATCTGACATAATAATAGCCAGGGACTCATCCTTGGAATGAGCATCCTTGGAAACCTGCAGATTGGACTGCTTTTTTTGTGCATAAGGGTTGGACCCCAGGTCTTATTCCAGTGCCCTAGCCTTGTGGCTGGGCCCTTGCAGAGTTGCCCGGGCTGCCCTCCAAAGGATCATGCTCCGCCTCCCAATCTCAGTCTCCCAAATAGCTGTGATTACAAGTGTGTACCACCACTCCTGGCTTGACTGAAGTCTTCATTTGCTTTAGACATAAAGTAGCAGAAGGCTACACCTGAAAGGCATACCACAATGAAAAGCATACAACAGGTAGGGTGAACAGCAATTACATTGCTGAGTAGCCTTCCAAGGCCCGAGGCCTTCCACAGTCCTGCTCCCACCGGTCCCAGCCCTTGGCAGTGTCGCTGATGGCCAGGCGGAGTCACCCCGGACAGCTGTGACCGTCTGGGGACAGATGAAGTGGCCGTGCGGGCAGTGGAGGGTGGCCGTGGAGACGCTCCCGGTGGATCCTCCCTGCCAAGCCGGCCTCTGGTTGTGTGTGCCGGCGCAGCCACGCAGTGAAGTGTGGAATTGGTGGTCCGCTGCTGCTCCGGGCAGGGGATCGCTCAGCAACTGGATTGCATGGATTTTCCTTCATCCGTTTTCAATTTTTCTGCAAGGTTTTCTCGCTCTTTCCCACGCCGTCGTGTTTCCACCTCCGTGATTTCCAGCTTCAAGTCCAGGGCTGCATCAGCGTCCGGTTCCGAGCGGCCCTGCAGTCCGGCTCGGTCGGATCCCGCTCTGTTGGATCACGGAGTCTAGCTCCAGGGGTCCATCGGGCACACCGGGGAGCTCGGTCCTCGTCCCGAGGCCTCGGCTGTTTATGGCGTTCGAGGGGCGGCCCCCGGAGGGATGGTCCGGGCCGCGGGCCGCTGGGGGCACCCGCGCGGGTTCGGGAAGGTCTCTGGGGTGCGGTACCCAGCCCCATCCGCAGCAGGAGCGCGCGGTACCCCCGTGCGGGGTGGGCACCCACCCGCGAGCCTCGCCCCGCAGACGCACAGGACCGATCCGGGCCGCGGGGGGCGCTCGGCAGCTGGCCCGGCCTGGCGTGCTCGGGACGTTGCAGAACTTGAACCGAATCGGCCCCAGCGGACGCGCGGGACGTTCCTCCCGCCGCAGCCTCTGCGGGGTGCGCCCCGGCCACCAGGCGGCGCCGGCGGACCGCCTTGCTCGGGCGCGGGTACTCGCCGGCCGGCCGCCTCCCCTTCAGGCCGCCCAGGCGGCTGCAGCGGAGCCCTAACCACGCACGGCAGTCCGCCGTCAGAGACGGTCGGGCCCTCGTCCAGCTCACGCCCTGGCTCGGCCTGGCAGTGGCCTTTAGCGCACACACACCGAGGCTGCCGTACAGCCCTCGGGAGCGGTGCCAGGGGGAGGCCCTGGGCGCTGAGGGGCAGGCGCGGCCGGGACCCCTCACCTGGGGCGCGGTTCCTGCAGGCGCTGGGAACAGCTCTCCGGCTGTAAAGTTCTTGCTTTGAGACAGGGTGACCTGTGCAGCCCAGGCTGGCCTCAAACTCAGCGATCCTCCTGCCTCAGCCTCCCGCTGTGCCCGGCTGCTGCGATTGTCCTCGGCCCAGCAGCCCGCGGGTTCCCCAGAGACCAAGTCTCACGCCGCCGTGTGCCGCGCGTGTCCTGTTGCCGGCAGCTGCCAGAATTGCTTCTCAGACCCGGGGTCACCAAGGCGGTGCCCCGTGTCCTGCCTCCCGGGGCGTCTCGCTCTTTGGTGACCCCCTTGGCCCTTTGTTGCAGGGGCGGTTCCCGTAGCGCAGTCCCCCTTCTTTTGGGGGTTTTCTGATTTGAGACCAGGTCTGTCTGCTGCCCACGCTGGCCTGGAACTCCTGGGGTCACGAGATCCTCCTGTCCCCTCCTCCCGAGTTGTTGGAACTCCAGGTGGGGTTTTGTCACTGTTTCCCCCAGGAGCGGGGAATGGACCCCAGAGCCTATCTCACCCTCGGCGGCATTCTGACGCGGAGCTTCATGCCCAGCCTCCTGGTCCCCACTTTGGGAAGCGGCGTCAGTGGCACTTCCTTGTCTGCTCCTAAACTTGGGGTTCTGTGTTTTGCGGTGCTAGGGAATGAAAGTAAGGGGTACCCTGACCTACAACCCCAACCCTTTTTCTAAATTGTATTTTCGAGTCAGGGACGTGCTAAGTTGCCCAGGCTAGCCTCCAACCTGCCACCTTCCTGCCTCGGCCTCCTGAATTGCCGGGAAAACAGGCCTGCGCCCGCTCATCGGGCCATGCCCCGAGCTTCGCCATCAGAATCTTCCGTGCTCGGGCTTCTGGGCACTC